TCACACCCGGAAGGAGGATCGGCCGGCGAAGCCGCCGATCCGACTGGCCCTCCCTCTCATGGAAAACTTCTCGCCGGGACCCACTTCACACCCGGAAGGAGGATCGGCCGGCGAAGCCGGCCGATCCGACTGGCCCTCCCTCTCATGGAAAACTTCTCGCCGGGACCCACTTCACACCCGGAAGGAGGATCGGCCGGCGAAGCCGGCCGATCCGACTGGCCCTCCCTCTCATGGAAAACTTCTCGCCGGGACCCACTTCACACCCGGAAGGAGGATCGGCCGGCGAAGCCGGCCGATCCGACTGGCCCTCCCTCTCATGGAAAACTTCTCGCCGGGACCCACTTCACACCCGGAAGGAGGATCGGCCGGCGAAGCCGGCCGATCCGACTGGCCCTCCCTCTCATGGAAAACTTCTCGCCGGGACCCACTTCACACCCGGAAGGAGGATCGGCCGGCGAAGCCGGCCGATCCGACTGGCCCTCCCTCTCATGGAAAACTTCTCGCCGGGACCCACTTCACACCCGGAAGGAGGATCGGCCGGCGAAGCCGGCCGATCCGACTGGCCCTCCCTCTCATGGAAAACTTCTCGCCGGGACCCACTTCACACCCGGAAGGAGGATCGGCCGGCGAAGCCGGCCGATCCGACTGGCCCTCCCTCTCATGGAAAACTTCTCGCCGGGACCCACTTCACACCCGGAAGGAGGATCGGCCGGCGAAGCCGGCCGATCCGACTGGCCCTCCCTCTCATGGAAAACTTCTCGCCGGGACCCACTTCACACCCGGAAGGAGGATCGGCCGGCGAAGCCGGCCGATCCGACTGGCCCTCCCTCTCATGGAAAACTTCTCGCCGGGACCCACTTCACACCCGGAAGGAGGATCGGCCGGCGAAGCCGGCCGATCCGACTGGCCCTCCCTCTCATGGAAAACTTCTCGCCGGGACCCACTTCACACCCGGAAGGAGGATCGGCCGGCGAAGCCGGCCGATCCGACTGGCCCTCCCTCTCATGGAAAACTTCTCGCCGGGACCCACTTCACACCCGGAAGGAGGATCGGCCGGCGAAGCCGGCCGATCCGACTGGCCCTCCCTCTCATGGAAAACTTCTCGCCGGGACCCACTTCACACCCGGAAGGAGGATCGGCCGGCGAAGCCGGCCGATCCGACTGGCCCTCCCTCTCATGGAAAACTTCTCGCCGGGACCCACTTCACACCCGGAAGGAGGATCGGCCGGCGAAGCCGGCCGATCCGACTGGCCCTCCCTCTCATGGAAAACTTCTCGCCGGGACCCACTTCACACCCGGAAGGAGGATCGGCCGGCGAAGCCGGCCGATCCGACTGGCCCTCCCTCTCATGGAAAACTTCTCGCCGGGACCCACTTCACACCCGGAAGGAGGATCGGCCGGCGAAGCCGGCCGATCCGACTGGCCCTCCCTCTCATGGAAAACTTCTCGCCGGGACCCACTTCACACCCGGAAGGAGGATCGGCCGAAGCCGGCCGATCCGACTGGCCCTCCCTCTCATGGAAAACTTCTCGCCGGGACCCACTTCACACCCGGAAGGAGGATCGGCCGGCGAAGCCGGCCGATCCGACTGGCCCTCCCTCTCATGGAAAACTTCTCGCCGGGACCCACTTCACACCCGGAAGGAGGATCGGCCGGCGAAGCCGGCCGATCCGACTGGCCCTCCCTCTCATGGAAAACTTCTCACCGGGACCCACTTCACACCGGAAGGAGGATCGGCCGGCGAAGCCGGCCGATCCGACTGGCCCTCCCTCTCATGGAAAACTTCTCGCCGGGACCCACTTCACACCCGGAAGGAGGATCGGCCGGCGAAGCCGGCCGATCCGACTGGCCCTCCCTCTCATGGAAAACTTCTCGCCGGGACCCACTTCACACCCGGAAGGAGGATCGGCCGGCGAAGCCGGCCGATCCGACTGGCCCTCCCTCTCATGGAAAACTTCTCGCCGGGACCCACTTCACACCCGGAAGGAGGATCGGCCGGCGAAGCCGGCCGATCCGACTGGCCCTCCCTCTCATGGAAAACTTCTCGCCGGGACCCACTTCACACCCGGAAGGAGGATCGGCCGGCGAAGCCGGCCGATCCGACTGGCCCTCCCTCTCATGGAAAACTTCTCGCCGGGACCCACTTCACACCCGGAAGGAGGATCGGCCGGCGAAGCCGGCCGATCCGACTGGCCCTCCCTCTCATGGAAAACTTCTCGCCGGGACCCACTTCACACCCGGAAGGAGGATCGGCCGGCGAAGCCGGCCGATCCGACTGGCCCTCCCTCTCATGGAAAACTTCTCGCCGGGACCCACTTCACACCCGGAAGGAGGATCGGCCGATCCGACTGGCCCTCCCTCTCATGGAAAACTTCTCGCCGGGACCCACTTCACACCCGGAAGGAGGATCGGCCGGCGAAGCCGGCCGATCCGACTGGTATTACATAAGGGCAGAGAATTGACCAGACATGGTGCTAACAGGAAGCGTTATTGGCTCGGCTAGGTAGCGGCAGCTGGCAGTGCGGCGTATTACCTGTTGTGTGCTTTGACTACGGGTGGAAGCCTCACACGGTAAGAGCTTCTGGTCTTGGAGGTGAGCGCACGGCGAATACTTACTGAAAATGTCCTTTTAGTGGGGATGTTACCCTGCACGATGATTTAGTACTCGCGCAAAAATGGTAGTAGGGGTGCTACATAGTGGACGAGTTCCCCGTTGTATCGTGCTAACAACCGCTCTGATAGATACGTCTGCACGTACGTACTCTTACATCCATGTACCATTCCATATCAATTTGGACTTAGATGAAGCATATGGATCTCCAGCGCTATCGGGGTTTAACGAACGATTTGTGGAGGCGGGTGGCGCTATAATAGGCGCTATAATGGCGCGCTTCTTTGGAAAAGGAGTCACGCAGCGCCTGCTGAGGGCCAAAGTATCTTTCGTGCTAGGGGCAATAATATTTCGTACCATACCTTGATTGTGCCAATTTGCTTTGACGAACAAGTGAAGAATTTCTATGCTTTTAGTGAACAAAGCGAAAATTCCCTTGTAAAAATTGCTGAGAAACTAACTGGTTGGTGGCCGCGGTCAGGTCAGTCTCCCAGGTCTCAGCGTCGTCAAAGTGAATGTCACCGTTGAGCGGTTCTGAATGACCGGGAAAGAACGTGTGCGCCAGAATGTTCTTCTTTGCCGAAGCACCATCGAACTGAAATAAAGCATGGGTTGACCTTGCTGGAAACTGTCGACTCCTGTGAGTCAGACTCACTTCGTACTGATCGCCATGAGCTCCTTCAGCCCACAGTATGTTGATGTCAGCTTCAGGCTTGTGATGCGGCTTCTTCAAAGTGGAAAGTCACCTAGAATAGGCATTTCTTCGGTATGACGCACAATCGCTTAGCCAGCGGATGTGATTCAAACATGCCCGAGTAAACAATGATTAGGGGCTTACAATGTCAACAAATTGTTTACGATTGCTAAGCGGCTTACATCGGTTGAGACGATCTTTGGCCAACTTACCGATTCAAAACGTCACTAGTGACCAGCCTCTGTAGAGGCCACGCGACCAAGAATCGCTAAGCGCGATAAGGTGTGAATAAATGGATGAATATTAGCGATGAACTAACCTTTGGTAGGTTTCACTCTCATGTAGGCTTCCTTAGGCCCAGAGCTGCCAAAGCCTTCTGGATCGTCGAGCTGGAATTCGCATCATTCATTCTGATTTTCATTAGAGAACATCTACAATCTCACCGAATAATCGCCTTCGGGATATCATTGGTGTACTCGGAGACGAACCACTTGAGAGACAGCTCGTGCAGACCAGTAAAGTGCTTTTTGTCCCATTTTGACGTACCCGAGAGAGCTGCAGGTGGTTACTTCTCACCATATCACATTATCACATAGCACTTATAGGCAAGTGGCACGATAAATCCCAAGGACGTGCAGGACTAATACGCCTAGGAGGACAAAATTCGGCGCCCCTGAGTAGGCGCTGCGTGGTTCTTTTCCAAGGAAGGGAACCTCATGTCAAGATGCACCATACGAAAACCCCCGGACACCACCCGGCACCTGCCCGCCTACAAATGTCCGAGCGGTGCTGACTAGGGCACATCATGGATTCCTGGACAGCTATGGATTCCTGGACAGGAGAAGGGAGTCGTATTTGGTCGCTGGAGGGGAGGGTGTATTCTTGATTCTTCTTGTTTCAGGGACGCTATAAAGGGGAGGGGTGAGGGTCGTATTTGTCTTCTAGCCTTCTGAGTAAGTTTTTTGACTTTTCGTGGTTTTTCCTGTTTCACATGTGCTATATATCCCTGCCCCCCAAGCCCTTAATTTTCGGTGTGAAAAGTAGAGAAATTGTTCCGAGAAAATCCGGGGGGGAAAAAAAAACTGGAAAAACTAGTAGGAATTTGGAAAAATATACGAATGTGGTAGGTAGGATGGGGGAGAGAAGGAGTCGTTTTTTCTTAGCGGTTCCCTTTTACATGTGCCGTGCCACCCCTTAGCGGGGGGGGGGGTTGGGGGATCGTACAAACTGGATGAAAATTCCCAACTAATAATGTGCCCTGATACTGGTGTTTGTCCCGCTTCATTTACGAAGTACAGTATGAAAGGAAGGACATTAATAAGAAGCGGGTGCGGTGCTGCGTGGACATATGGGTGCATACATGCAGCCGTATTTACCGCAGCGGTCATTGGCACGGAATGGATGTCGGCGGAAAACTCGTCCAAAATTGCTTTCTGGTGCAAAAAAGGAACTTTTTGCAGGTTTTTGACCGTTTCACTTCGCTTTTTCGCCATTTTCCCCATCACGCGTCCCTGCTAGCATTTTAGACCAGGTGCTAAATTATCGTGCCTTATGCCTTTAAACTCACCAAATCTTTTCGATCTGCCCGTATCCTTTCTCGTGTCTTTTTGTGAACAGCGCGTCCTCTTCGTTGCTTCCACTGTTTCCGGAGTGAGTTCACCAGTCGGCTCCACCCCTACCACTTCCTGTAAGTGGAGTGTCTGGTTGTGGTTGTTGCTCCTTGACCTTCAGATAAGAGCTTCCGTCCCACCTGGAACAATCGGAGTCCGGTGCGAAATTCGTGTAGACTGGGCGCTGGGCTGTTCAGATAACCGAATCGATGCAGATATCGCTGAAAACGTTCCGAAATTTTGAATGATTGGTTTTCTTCTTGAAGAGAACAATTCAAGGAATCTCCCCTAACTTGTGGCTGGTTGGCCGGCTGGCTGTTCAAAGAGCAAAAACCCCCTACAAGTTTTTCTGCACTTTAATAGAACGAAATGGATTCGCATTTCGCTGCGGGATTGTCTATGGAAAAACCGGCGTTTTTAAGAACTTTAAGTCACACTCTCGACATTTGAATGATCTTCTTACACACTGCAATTGAACGCTGTGGGGTTTTAAACTGTCCAGCACTCTCGCTTTCTCCTTAACTGGAAGCTCGGGGATTGTTCCAGCTGGAGGGTTGTCTGCACAGTAAAAAATGAAAAGGGGGGGCTCGTTGGCCAGAGGGAGGGAGCCGCCCAATTTCTGCTCTTCGAAGCATCATAGGGGTTGAGTGTGTGTCTAGCACTGTCAGTTGAGTGCCTAGCCCTTCTGGTTTCTCCTTTTTTGGGATTACTAATTAAAAAATAATTTTCCTTGAAGATTGACGTACCATCTCCAATAAATAAAACTGAATAGAGACGGAGGCACCAAGCACCGCTCTCTACTACTGCTCAGAGCGAAAAGGCGCTTGCTAGAAGGTCAATCTGAGCCCAGTCTTTTCAGTCGCTGAAAGCATGGCTTGAGGCACCCACCATCCACAGCGCAGTTTGGCGAAGGGGATGGGGAGTGGAGGGAAACTGTTGCCACATTCGTTAAGCCTGTGCACTAGTACCTGGTTATCAAGTCTCACACTGGTAAATCTATGAACTACTGTAAGAGCTGGAGCAAGCTCGTCAAGCGCATGCATGGTAAAACCCTGTTTAACTGCGGAAGAAGCTAGTGTAGATAGGGTAAACACGTCAATAGGAAGTACAAAATGCCCCTCCCGTCGCGTATTGCGTCCACGATTCTTCCCCTATGGGAGAAAAACGAGAAGTTCAAAGAGTTGAAGATACTAAGACGTAAGAAACCGAATGGACATATCGTCTCTTTTGCCGGCCGAGCCCACACAATGCAGGGCATGACGCGTCTCTCTCTCGACCAGTGGTTGTGTGGAGTGTCTTCTCAGTGTAATGAAAAGTCGATCACTCTCAACTACTGTAAACTTCTTCGCTTGTATGCTCTTCATAAGAAACCAACTACGCCAATTAAAAAGCTTCCCCTTCTAAGTAAATGAATGGGGAATCTGTGCGAGAGAGCGAAGTACATAAGAAGTAGTCAATCGAAGTAGTCAGTTGAATGGCCTCGATTTTTGAAAAATTTCTGACAGTATGATGACGGCTGTAGAAAAATTGGATCATGTGAATATCTGGTGGTGGGAGAAATCTAAGAATTACGCACTTGTGACAAAAGAGAACACTTTTCTGCCCTCTCACAATGGGATTAAATGCGCGAAGTGCGTGTGCACTCCACCCACCCCCACCGCCCACCCATGGTGCTGGGGTGGAATCGAGTCAGATAGTGGGCTAAGCTGATGGCAAGCCGAAAAATGCAAGTGATTTTTGTGACGTTTTTCTCGGGCTACAAATCACTTAAAAGCAACTGTCGATCTGTGACGGCTTGATAAACAATTGGAAATTCTTAAGCTGTTACTAGCGATAAACAGTAAACTGTAAACATAAAATGAAAGTAGAAAGTTCCATAGTCAGCCAGCGGATCAATGGTCACGAAACCTGAGACGATACAGCCGCTCAAGTAGAATTCAGCGCTGATGACCTGACATTTCGTTCGAGGATTCATTCACATTTCCACTCGCGACAAACGCTATTACTAAGCGCTAAATTAATCCGAAGAGGCCAGCTGCGGACGTCACAAGAAGGAAGCAGCGAACCACTTTACTCATAAAGAGATACCGGATAGAGAAGAAAATTGCAAGAGGCATAAAGGTGGTAAACATTTATCAAAAAAAAATAAGAGACTGTTAGCGCCAGCACGAAACGCACGGATCTGGGTCAAAGTTTTCGGTAACCAATGGGGCCGGGCGACTAGGAGGCGGCAGGATGAGCAGTAGGAGACAGACCGCCAGAGAGCAGCACATCGCGCGCCACCGCGCCTGCCCCAACCGCCGTCAGGCTAATGGCGGACCCCGAAAGCGCCGATTCACTACGTAGGTCATAGCAGGGCGGACTTCCCCGATTTTAGACCAACATGGCCTATGCTTCATCTTCGAGGCTCCTAACTCACACCCTAAAGAGAGAACCCCTTGGAGAACCTAAAGGATACGTATAAGACGGGAGATTAATCATCCTCAGGTTCGGGCGTTTCTTAAGAAGTATTAAAGAGTAAAATATGATTTTGTAACAGCAAAAGTGAGGGATAGTATACTTCGGTGTGAGCGATTCTATAAGTTCTATCGTACAGGAAATGCACTGAAGGAAATATATACGATGCTTGTAGCAGTAACTTGGCCATGAAGGAATCCTTTAATATTTCTGGGTCTGCTAAGTACTCTTAGATTTTTGATTGTTTCAAGATCATCAGATTTTTCGATTACTACAGAGAAAAACTTAGAAAATTCTGGCGAAAAAGGAATTTCCCAAATACCATGACAACCTGAAAAAAAAGAGTGGCGATTCCTGAACCAATGAAGAACAGGAGTACTGTAGCGTACTGGTGCGGATATCTAATGTCATAAGTTGCAGGTTGATTACTTCCGCCTCACCCGTGCGCAGCGCTAGACTTTGACCTATCTGACGAAAAACTGTTTATTTGTTCGGTTGCCAAAACGTCGCGGTGTAAAGTCAAATAAACAAGGAAGATAGAGCGGTAGCAGACGATTTTTACGCACCATTCACAAATGGATAAACCTGCATTCCTGCTGAATTCTGTTACATTCCGTTCAAGTGGATGAACCTCGTACATCCGTTCAAGTGCAGCTTTCCTTTGCCAGTAGGGCGCACACAGCTTTCCCAAACTCCTAGCCATCTGCTCTTTGGACCGTGAGGTTCAGTGAAATTGGAAGCGGAAGTTGGGAAGGTCTTCTTCAGAGTATCCCTATGATTTTTGAGCAGGCTAGTTCAAAGAGACCATTTGAAGACAGTCCCCGCGCTCGAGCATTTCGTAGACGTCCTCCCTTGTACGGGCAGTTAGGTAACTGGTCTCTCACACAACCACACTTTCGCGGCTACACAGTAAGTAACTGAAGGCGCTGTTGCCCTCATAAAAGGCAGTTCTGACGCCTCTCTAGTTGTCCCGCCCACCGGAACTGTTTTCTGTCACAAATTCAGTTTTGCACCGCATTTCTTCTTTCACTGTTCGATGGTATTGTACTGGATGACGCGAATAAAGGATCAAAGAACAGGAAGGGAGGCAGAATATCCTTTGCTGGCATGAAACAAGCAGGTCCAGAATACTCGTCCAATGAGCTTGGCGGGTCCATACTTAGGGTGGGTGCAGTTCAACGAGGGGTGGGGGAGGGGTATTTTGCATTTTCGCTGTTTCACTGGTTCCGGTTTATAATTCTCATTCTGATGAAACCTGTAAACTATTGTGAAGGTGGAGCACACTCGTCTTTCCACTACGGTAACACCTGTGAATTCTTGTAAGCCCACGAAATGGTTCTCTAGACGGGTCGACACGTCGATGGGAAGTAGCAGGAGTTCAGAATGTCCTCTCCCCGTCGCCGAATTGCACCCTTAGGGTGTTCTCCAGATTTTTTTTTGCTTTTTTCTTCCCTGGAGACTCACTTGGCGACTGTAGGCCTGCAACTGAACACCATTGTCCACAAACAATGGATAGGTTTAACTTGGATTGAATTAACAGCGGTCAGTGCCAGTCCAGTTGCGCGCTAGTTCGCTACGGGGAGGCTTAGCTCACTCCTGTCAACAGAGCTTTAAACGCTGCAAGGTCCTGAAATCATACTGTAAAGCTACAAGGAGAAGAACAATTGTGACCTCAGGGCCGTCTCTTCGCTTGTCGCAGGATGCGAGATCCCATTTTCGCACAATAGACCTAAGGGGGGGGGTCTCTTAGTGATTGGCCTACCCGTGAGCTCCTAAGGATCCTTCCTTTCTTACCCTGATTCACATAAGAATCCTCTATCTTCTGGTTCACATTTGTTTC